GTTTTCCTGCTTCTCTGATGCTGCTTGGCCTGCTGTGTTCATCCAGCTCTACATTTTGTTATGTCAAAAAAGGGAACTGGAAGTAAACAAAAGGTGATAAAGACTGCAAAGGGCCAAGGAAACGAAGTTGATGAAATGTGTGACCAAAGAATCTGATAGCAAAGGGCCAAGGAAACGAAGTTGATGAAATGTGTGACCAAAGAATCTGATAGCAAAAGGACACAGGAATAGAAATAATATATATAAAATTAGATAGAGAGAACTGGAAAAGGCTTCAAAATTATGTTACTCCTTCATAATTTCATTTTTTAGATACATACGACCACTTTTCAATATACCAAACCCTTTGTCATCAGGAACAAAGCCACGGTACTAAAGTGTTTTAAAGTTGAAGTTATCTAATTTTTCTCCTCAATCTTTTTATATAGGTCAGAGGCTTTTCCTGGCTTGAAAAGTTTGACAAATGTCAAAAACCTTCACATCATAAATCAAGTTGCATGGTGAGCTGTGAAATGTTGCATAATGCTGAACTTTATTTTGCTTATGTGGAAACAGAACTTAACTTCAGTTTTCAATGTGCAATGTGAACATTTTGTGGTTAGTTTGTTAATTTATTTTTGGGAGTGGGATTTGAATGATTGTCTGTTGCAAGAGAGCACAATGCAAATACCTGTAACCCAATATTCTGGTATAAAAGCGCCAACCAGCAACATTAGTGAAAAAGCATTATTGATAAAGCAATAGTTTACATGACTGTCATGCATAAGTCCTTCACTGATAAACTAGTGAATTTGTTCAGTAAGTAGTAAAATATAGTTAAGACAATTGTAAGGCTCATGTTAGTGTGTGGGAAGACATCTATGGATCAGTATCTCAGTTATTATGAAGTAATTCTGGCTGAATCTATGAATTTGAATTTGTATGGGCAGATGAGAAAAAGATCAGCACTGTGGGGATAGTTTGGTGGTTGAATAGCTGATTAACAAATTCACATGCAAAGAATTCGCATTTTGGTTGTTCTTGGGGGTGGGGGAGGGAGTGGGTGCAGTCTTGAGACCATACTCAAAATGGAGTCAACATCTTCAAGAAAGAAGAGGTAAAGAGCAAGTTGGCAGGAGAAGAAAGTTGGAAGAAAGGATTTTCTTAGACATCTAGATGCAATGAAAATAATCAGTGTCAAGTAAATGTGGTTAGGTGCACACCAGTTGTATGGAGCATTTGTGACCCTGTTTTATCCACAAATAAAACTTGTTTTATTTGCAAAACTATAAAATCTTAGCGCTGCACAGATATCATGGGGTCATTGACTCCAGTTTGTTTCATTAGAACCTGATCCAGCAGCAATCCCCTACCTTCATATTCAAAGGATTTGCTGGGAAATTACAGAGGTAAGGGAGTGCTAGAACAGAGAGATCTGGGGATGTAAGTACAAATCTTTGAATGTGAAAAAACTAATTGAAGAAATCTGCTAAAAATGTATATGCAATCCTAGGTTTTTATGAACAGAAGCCTATTGTACAATAGTGAGGAACTCATGCTAAACCTTTGTAAATCACCTCTAAGACACGAACTGGAATTTTTCCCAATTCTTCAACTACACTTCAGTAACAGTGCCAAGAGCTCAGAGTAGGTGCAGGGCAGATTACCAGAATGGCACCAGAGTTAAGTTGTATGGAGAGGTTAGAGAAGCTGATGTTGTTCATCTTCAGGTAGAGAAGGCTAAAAGGGAAATTTGATAGAGGTGTCAGTACAATGAACAAAAATGAAGTTGCTGGGAAAGCTCAGCAGGTCTGGCAGCATCTGTGGAGGAGAAAACAGAGTTAATGTTTCGGGTCCACTGACCCTTCCTCAGAACTGATGGTGGCAGGGAAAATGTCAGTTTATATGCAGAAAATAGGGAGGTGGGTGGGGTAGGGAGTAAACGATAGGATAGAGCCCAAAGAGAGAGAAAGACAGTTGGACAGACAAAGGAGTTGCTAACGATCAGGCTGGGAGGGTGAGTAGTTGTTAATGGGGACTGTTAGTGACTAACAACAGGGGGTGTGTAGTGGCAGGCTATGTTGTAACAAGGCCTGGTGTGTGGGGTGGGAGGCTGGGACATTGGAGAGTTTAGGCCCTAAAATTATTGAACTCAATATTGAGTCCGGAGGGCTACAGGGTCCCCAAGCGGAAAATGAGGTGTTGTTCCTCCAGCTTGTGTTGGGCTTCACTGGAACACTGTAGCAAGCCAGAGACAGAGATGTTGGCCAGGGAGCAGGGTGGTGCATTGAAGTGGTAGGCAACAGGTAGTTCAGGGTCTTTTTTGCAAGCAGAACGTAGATGTTCTATGAAGCGGTCACCAAGTCTATACTTCGTTTCCCCAGTGTAGAGGAGACCACATTGTGAGCAGCCAACGCAGTAGACTAGATTCTTGGAAGTGCAGGTGAAGTGTCGCTTCACCTGAAAGGTATGTTTGGGCCCTTGGATTCTGGGGAGGGAGGAGGTAAATGGGCAGGTGTTGCACATTTGCCGGTTACAGGGGAAGGTGCCGTAGGGCTGTGGGGACGTGTTGGAGGTGAAGGAAGTGTGGACCAGGGTGGCCCGGAGGGAACGGTCCCTGCAGAAGGTGGACAAGGGAGGGGAGGGGAATATGTGTCTGGTGGTGGCATCTTGCTGGAGGTGGCGGAAATGGCGTCTGATGATCTTCTGGATGTGGATGCTGGTGGGATGGTAGGTGAAGATAAGGGGAACCCTATCGCTGTTGTGGGAGGGAAGAGAAGGGGTGAGGGCAGAAGTGCGGGAGATGGGTCAGACCCAATTGAGGGCCCTCTCAACCACGGAGCTTGGGAATCCTCGGTTGAGGAAGAAAGTGGACATTTCGGAGGCTCACTTGTCGAAGTTGGCCTCATCTGAACATATGCGACGGAGACGGAGGAACTGAGAGAATGGGATGTAGTCTTTACAGGAAGTGGAGTGTGAGGCTATATAGTCCAGGTAGCTGTGGGAGTCGGTGGGTTTGTAATGGATATTAGTGGCCAGTCTATCCACAGAAATGGAAACAGAAATGTTGAGGAAGGGAAGGGAGGAGTCAGAGATAGACCAGGTGAAAGTAAGGGCAGGGTGGAAATTGGAGGCGAACTTGATGAAGTTTTCCAATTCTAGACAAGAGAGAGGAAGCAGCACCAATGATATCATCAATGTATCGGAGAATGAGTTGTGGGTGGGGGCTGGAATAGGACTGGAACAAGGAATGTTCCATGTACCCCACGAAGAGACAGGCATAACTAGGGCCCATGAGGGTACTCATGGCAACCCCTCTTACCTGAAGAAAATGAGAGGAGTTGAAAGAGAATTTGTTGAGGGTGAGGACAAGCTCAGCCAAGCGGAGGAGGGTGGTGGTGGGTGGGGATGGTTCAGGTCTTTGCTCCAGGAAGAAGTGGAGAGCCCTAAGACCCTCCTGGTGGGGAATGGATGTGTATAGGGATTGCACATGCATCGTAAAGAGGAAGTGGCTGGAGCCGGTAAACTGGAAGCTTTGAAACTGGCATAAGGCGTCAGATGAATCATGGATGTATGTGGGTAGGGATTGGACCGGGGGGAGAAGACTGAGTCAAGGTAGGAAGAGATGAATTCTGTGGGGCATGAGCAGGCTGAAACAATGGGTCTACCTGGATAGTCCTGTTTGTGGATTTTTGGCAGGAGGTAGAAACGAGCTGTGCGGGGTTGGGGGACTATTAGCTTGGAAGCGGATGGGAGGAGATCACCGGATGAGATGAAATCCGTAACCGTAGTGGATACAATGGCCTGATGTACCATGGTGGGGTCATGGTCCAGGGGAAGGTAGGAGGAGGTATCTGAGAGCTGGCGCTCAGCCTCTGCAAGGTAGAGGTCAGTATGCCAGACTATATTTGTATTTGTCAATACAATGAAGCGTTTTGAGAGAGTAAATAAGTAAAAGCCTGTTTCCACTGGCAGAGAGGACAGTAACTAGAAGACACTGATTTAATAATAGTTTTAGGCAAAAGAACCAGGTGTGACATGAGGAAACTTTATTTACACAATTGTGATTGGAGTGCAGTGCTTGAAAGTCTGAAATGTCTAACAGCCATTTGATGAAGGAGGAGACCAGAGTCAATCTTTACTCAGTTTAGATTTATTCACGGAGTGAAACATTCCACATGTTTAGATACCAAACCTATACACTACTCAGGGTATCTCTTTATATGTGCTCAAAATATAAATGCACTTCACCTGTTGATCACTGCCCTTGGTTTATACAATTAATAGACAGGGTGGCTGAGGTATTGTCAAAGCAATTTACAAAAGAAAGTTGGGTAAGTACTTAAGGTGCAACATTTGCAGGGTTACAGGAAAAACCAGGAGAGTGGAACTAATTGGATTCTTTTTGCAAATGTTGGCACAGCCATGATGAGTCAAGTGACCTCCTTCTGTGTTGTACTATTCAATGACCCTATGAAATAAAGAACAGATTTCATTAGATGGTTACAGTTGCTACACTGTACCCACACTCCCCACCCACCTCCACCAAACAACTCCCTTCAACCTTCTCATGACCAGACTTGTTTTCCTTTCCACAGGCACATTTCGAAACCTTTCAGTCAGGTTAGATTTATCATGCTAGATTGAAGGAAGCTCTGGTTTCCTTTTGATGAAACAATGTAAAGACACTTAGGAGACATAGATCAACAAGTCACCCAATCTTTAATTAGGGATAAATCACAGGCAGCAGCATTACTTGGATAATCTTGCAACACAGAGAACTGAACAGACTCACGGTTCAAAAATGTGACTATCAAAAATGTACTGTCAAATCCATTCAGGGCATAAAAAGAGGAGAGAATGCTGGAAAGACACAGTTGCACAGTCAGCATCTGTGAAGAGAAAAGACAGATTAGTATTTTACGTTAGATCATTGTTTTCTGGTATTTGCAGTTTTATGTTTTTTTTCTTTTACCCAAACAGAATAACGCCCATCAAGAAAATTACAGTTAATTCAGCTTTTATATAATTGTGCCAATTTAGCCTAGATCCATTTGAAGTATTGTACCTATTTTGAAAAGAACTGTAGCCAATACATAAAAACCGAAAGAACTGTGAATGCTGTTCTGAGGAAGGGTCACTGCACCCAAAACGTTAACTCTGATTTTTTTCTTCACAGATGCTGCCAGACCTGCTGAGCTTTTCCAGCAACTTCTGTTTTTTTTTTAGCCAATACATCTTTTGTGTTGATTTCCTGATCTGATTAGACCTTTCATTTCTTGTGTGCAGAAGTTGATGGCTCATGGTATTGATGAAATGAAGCATGAAGTGTAAGCAGTGTTTTATGAAGTAAAAGCAGAACTTGTACCTAATTACTCCACTGTTCTCTTTCTTTTCATTAGTAACTTGCTCAGCCAACTGAGCACTTATTTCCCTGTTTCAACACCAACAGTCAGCAATAGCATTAAATGAATACTGATTTCATTCGACTTTGCACAATGTCCTTGTACTGTTTACATGC